GTAAGTAACAACTTTATTTACAGAGGGCAACACATAACAGTAAAAAACTGACGAACCAGTGGCCCTCTATCCTAAGTTAAAAATTAAAAACTATTTACACTTAAGAAGCGAAAGAACGCCTATGGGAAAACTTAACAAAAGGTCGTTGCGGTATACCAGGATCTGGTATACTCTCGTTTGCGGGACGAGGTATACCCTCTGCTTGATTCCTCTCGCCGCGCTTTTTTTATTTTTTCGCGCGCCGTTTTTCGCGCTGCGCCTCAACTAACTGAACACCTGGAAAAGGCTACTTTATATCCGGCATAATTTTAACTTTTCCAGTCTCGCGGAGGATTTCAGGAACAAAAATCGACAGCTAATGTCGATGCTCCAAATAAAAAAAAAACGTAAAATATTATGATAGTGTAGAATGTAGCATAGATCCTTCTAAGAAAAGCGACCCAGGCAACCAACGAATTAGACCCGAGTTTTGTTCCAGATCTCGGGTCAACCGTTGACAAATCAGAGAACTTCCACAGTAAGTACTTTTACAATACTGAGATATCTTATGGTTTTTTCTCCTCTTGGAGTCATCATTTGATTCCTTTATATCAGTTCAGCTAAGAGAGGGTGAAAAGTAATAATAATAAAAAAAGAAATCCCCATATATTGGCCTTATTTCCAAAGTAGTCAAAATAATTCCTTTCAAGCCCGGACGGTTTAAACGTCACGCTATCGTCATGCTCGACTGTAGCTCGTCGTTTGAATCAACGTCGGGTCAGAGTCGGGTAGCAAGACAAGCCCGGTCGACTTGTCCCGAACTTACTACACTTGTCCCGAACTCAATACATCTGTGTGACCCTCTACTTATATGAATTTTTCACTAATCGAATGCAATGTTTCTAGAAGAGAATGGCGCGACTTTTGAATCACTTCATACTGTGTCGGCCTGAAACAGGGAGGATCTAGAGATAGCAAATCCCATGACTTCCACTCGGAGTTTTCTGACATGGTCAGCTAAAGTGACTTTACCTTCTTTTTCATCCTCCAAGAAAACATCCACCCAACACGCGTGGTGACATTCGTCGTCGAACGAGCCGGATGTCATGGCTAGAATAACTCGAGAGAGATTACTTTGGCAATAAGGCCTATGTGGGGGATTAATTCGCTTATCCTTCATCCTCTCAACTTATTTGCATTGACGTTTTTGAATATTGAGTAGCATGAAACTTTCCCTGCTAGCAGTTGGCTTCTCCTCGGTCGGCGTAGGACTCGGAACCATCTGTTCATGACTGCAGGGTAAATGAAACTTGTACAAACGTTCTGAGACCGTATGCGGATTTCGCTCAGAAACACGCCACAGTTGACAGTTTGCCATGAGTGATCTAAAATGAAACATAAATATTCAAAACTGTGTCAGGTCATCAGTCAGGGAGATCAGTTAACAAAATTAACCTCGTTTCGACGAGTCTTGCTTAAAATGAACTACCCCCAATAATGTCATTTGCTTCTTTGTTTCGCGTTAAGTAGCGCCCGACTCGCCGGTTCGCGAGTGGCGGTCTTTCTTCATGTTTTGGGTCTGCTCATGGAAATTTATCCATTTAGGCCTCTGTTGTATAACAAACGACAACAACAACAGCAAGCAGTAAACAAAAACTGTGTTAAATTGGAGCAGTGGTGAATTAGCCGTGTAAAATTGTAATGCTGCGGTAGTCTCCCCGGATGGCAAAACTCATGAATTATAAAATAGCTGCGGCAGATTAAATGTCCGCATTTCGCAGTGGCCCGGCGGCGTTTCTTTTTCAAGTTTTATCAGCTCTCACATCGAATCAAAATGAATTACCATAACCTTAATCATGTCTGAAATCCAGCCACAAAATTTCTTTTTTATTACGTGCAGTCGCGATAATTCTGTATTTGGTTTGGGCCCAAAAAATTTGCACGATTTTTTTTTTTTTTTTCACCTTTCAATAGTCAATATGGATGAGAAAGTACTTTTACTTCATATTATTTAAAGGCAAATGAAAGGTTCCATTGTCTAACATATATATTTCCACTTGGGATTAGAGGAATAACCTTCGTCAATGCAAATAAAACTTAATTTAAGTCCCATTCATTCTGCCGTATTGTTTATTCAGGTTTTATTGGACGCCGCCAACTTTTGATCAACCTGCTACAAAGAAATATGGGCAAATAAGTTTAAAAGACTTACCTGCCTCGAGTTCCGGTTGATGATTTCCTCCCGCATGTTGTGTTCGTTCCCAGTCTTCTACGAGCTGATTTCGGGCCCCGCAGTGTGGACACTTCGATGAAAACAGAGATTCGCGGGCAAGCTAGCACAAAAGAAGCATGAATTTGTGCTGTGTGTTTTATTGATATGGCCGATTCTTCTTCAGTCGTTTCAAGTGAAGTTCAGTCTTCAGTTACCAATGGGGAAGGACAGGTTGACGAGGAGAAAGAGGCCCTCGACGAAGAGACCAAGGTGAACTTACCGCGAAAATCGAGCGTTCTGAAAAAAGATGGTAGACCTTCGAAACGATCCCTACAGAAGTCAGTCTCGTTTATCGCTCGACCCGAGGACAAACGAATCATAAATGGTGAGATGCAGCGGACTTTCTTTGCAGACAATTGCCATGTTAGTTCCTCGAGAGACGTAAATGATTAATTCGTCGTTTTTGTTCTGTAGCCGCGGACTGTTTGACCTTCATGCAGACTGGCTCAGAGCTCATGAAAATTCGCTCAAATTCTCGACAGTATCAGAGGTTCTTCTATTTAGACGAAGATCTCTCGGCCTTGCGCTGGCGGCCGTCTTCCAAGAAGCCCGACAAAGCGAGAAGTAAGTATTCTTGTGTAGTCCTAATATATTTAATGTCCTGTCTGATTTTGTAAAAGCCTTTTTTTGTATTCCATTTTGGTCGACGAGCTGTCATATGTTTTGTAACTTCTAATGAATCGTGCATTCAAGTTTGCGGGAAGTCCACAGAGCGTATTGCTAGCAGTAGGCGATGCAGCAATTTTGTGGTATTTACAAAACATTACTTGTCATCCATTATACAGAAAGAAATTTAAATAGCTGTTACTTTCAGCGTGAAATTCTACAATGAAGATGAAGTTTTCCTGGAGGGAAATAAGTTTTACGTCCACTCGTTTTTTCAGACAAGCGTACCTCTGCTTTCGTATCCGAGCGATCAAATCCTAGTCGTCGAAAATGAAACTGTTTTAACCTGTAAGACGTCACTTTGTATCAGGAAATGAGTTGCCAGTTAGTAAATGCTTCTGTTGCTAGAATCACAAGACAGTTAAAATTTTCTTCGTCACCTTGCTGTGATGACAGCTTGTGTCTGTCGACCGTGACTAAATTGGATTCGACTTCGAATTTTTTCCATTCTCCTTTAATACAAGGAAGCTATTTTCGTTTGAGATCATAATTGAAGCCTCTTCGATGGAAGTATGAGTAAGGTAAACATAAATACGAATATGCTCTTTCGATTAGTATTTCTTTATTAGTTTTTGTGTACTTGAAATTTTTCTCCAATTTTGCCTGTGGCACTAACCTAAACATGTACATTTCCGCCACATTGATAAATATTATCGTTTAATCGAGAGCGTGGCCTCTCGAAATTCAAAGACTGTTTCTTCCGGATAGAAAACGATTATTAAAGAAACAAGTTAGAAGTTAATAATTTTAGCAAAGATCGGTTAATATTTAAACCAGCTGTACTGTATGGCAGACATTCGAGCCGGCTGATCAAGGCTTTGTGTACATTATGTAAATATTCTACCAGCGCACATGTTGAGAGTATTTTAAAAGAAGCCATCTCTTGGCTCATAATCTTGTTTTACATATGGAAATTAACCCACTCTGTTTGACAAAAATATTCTTTGATGTACATTTTTTTTTGTACCCTTGCAGATCTCTTATATACACAGAAAGCGTTTTTCTTGAAAGATCATTGCTTATTTAAAGTTTTAAATTTGATTCTGTATGACAAGAAGCTTTGTGATCATGAATTTGCACTGTGCATTCTCTTTCAGATAATATCCAATGTTATTGTTTAGCACCATATGCCATTAAATTATACAAAAGATCAATTATTGTGGTGCTTAGTCATGGGGCGACTTCTGAACTACCAATTCCAGAAAATCAATTAGAACAAATAAGGAATCATTAACCAAATGGTTTTATTTAAGGGGAATTAAACAGCTTGGTAGAAATATTTGCTGCCAAACGGTACAGGCTTTTTATGTTGAAAGGAAGTGGCAAAATATCTTAACTTAATGCTATCTCATCACTGCCAACCTATGGGTATTGCCCAGTGCTAAGACCGAGTGCATCATTTTGTGTTGCAATTCAACAGAACCAGATAAGTAATAGTATTTGGGAGTAATCAGGCAAGTAATTTCTAAGTTGAATGGACCCTCAGTATGGGGTTGATTTGAAAGTATGAGCTCAATTACATTCTGAATTGTACGACATGATCTCCAAAATTTTACTGAATTAATCATAATTATCAATAACAAATTCGGAGATTAAGAAGTCTTAAAAGTCAGGAGAGTTTATTCAATTTTTTTCAAACAGTAGTGAAAACATTGAAAAGGAAGCCATTAAAGCACAAATAATTGACAAGCCAATGAGGTGGGTGTCCATTTACAAAAAGGTGTTATTGGATACCTGTTATTGGTTTCTATGTCATTCACCTGTCCATTACATGAAAAGTAAGAGTGAGGAGAACCAATCAGAATGGAGAATTTTGTTATAGATTCAATTTAAAACAGAAAATTAAATACAGCAGAACCTCGCTATCTCAAACTTGGTTACATGTATCTCAAAGTCATCGCCATCTCAAATTCAAATCATTTTCTAAGATATACTTTTCAGTCGCTCTCTTTATGCTATCTCGAACTCCCAACATCTCGAACTGTTTTTCATTTTACTTCAGAGTTCTAGATGTCACCATTGAACTGTAACTCTAACAGGTGTAAAGATTCCAGTGAATTTTGACAAGTGCAATGTAGATGTTGTTTTTTTTTTGGAAAAATACATAGAGGATATTACAAAATACAAAATTTATTTTCAAGTGTTCAAAGATATTTCACGAATGAGTGCAGCAAACAAATGAAACATTTTTCAACACAAGAGGAGAAATTTTGTGTCTCCAAGTGGCCATGTAATGTTCTATCTTAAACCATTTCATTTTCACTGCGCCATTTCATTTTGTAACCATAGCAACGATGATTCCTGTTAACTTTTTAGTAACTCTGCTGACCAATATATAAAGTGGTGGCCGCTGGTTGCGCTCAAGTCAGAAAAGATATAATCCTCAAGTGATTTGTTTCTGTGGCAATGTTTCTTATTTGGGGATCATTTCTGCACATTTGACAGCGTATATGTTTTTTAGCTTGAAGTTCTCACTGTTAAACCAATTCAATGCTGTTCAATGGAAGTAAGCTTATATACGATTTATAGGGAAAGACTTCAAGGTTCATCCTCCTCGATTCAATTGTAAGGGAAAGTCTTCATCATTTTTCCTTCGCAGTCCTATCTGATACTAGTGATAACTTAAAGCTTGAATAAGGCTAACATACATGTACTTTGAGTTCGAGATCAATTAATGTTGTGGACGAATTCTCAAATGATTAAAAGCTTCAGATGATTTTTCATTGGAAAGCAAATGCTACAATTTTGGTAAATGTTTTTTTTTTAAGCATCAGAGAGGCAAAGGCTGTGTTTCGGTAAACTCTTTTTTCTATATCTGTTAAAAAGAAAAAATGTAAGAGAAAAAAATTTTAAAAAATTGTTGTGCAACATAGGATTCGAACTCGCAACCTCTCACTTGTCGGGTGATCATCTTCTCCACTGAGCCACATCAACATCTGAAGACATTTAGGGAGACATATTCATTAAATTGCTTCCTACAAAAACGCTGGGTTGTCAGAAAAGCATGCTCAGGAGTTGCGCGATAGCCCTACGAGTCGATGGCTGATTCCAGCTTATCATTCAAATAAGTCGTTGCTGAGCTCATTCAAGCAGAGGTGAATTATTGTCTTTCAGGAATTGTTTCGCATTTGTGCTTGCGTAGATCTGTTTACATGTAGATGTTTGACAATGATGTCATTCATCACGAACTCAATGGAGCTGGAGTAGTGGGAGACTTAACAACTCGATGTAATTTTGAACAACTACATTTTGATCTATGAATGGACTTACGTTATTTAATTAATACAAAAACTCCATTCTCAGCCTTTCATAAATCATTATCCGATTTCAGTGGCTCACAGCCACTTTGATTTGTAAACTGTTTAGATGGTATAGAAAGCATGTTTTTGTGTTTTTTTTTTCAACTTGACTTTTTATAATTCAATTTCTGAGTTCAGTGGCTCACAGCCACTTTGATTATATGATAAGACAGGCTATTTTAGTAATGTTGAGCTTTTGATTTAATTAAGGAAAATAGGCACAAGCATGTATACATACTTTAATTTATTTGTTAACACAGGTAAAACAATGACAGCCATGTAACATGTGCCTGTTGTGGACCTTCTAAAATTAGTTTATTCTAACATACCAATCCCAGTACTTTCTAACTAATAAAAAATTAACAACAGCACCTCAGAAAGTATTAGCACAGTCACTGGATCTTGAGCATGAAATTTTCTTTAATGCTTTCATTATTGATTGATTCAGTTACTCGGACAAAAAGCATCCATTTTTTCAATTTCTGCTCTGAAACTGATACCTTTTTGGTGCAGTAGAAAATTTCCTCAGCCTTCCTTTTAAATTGGTTATAGTGATTACTTAGGGTTTGGTTTTGTGGCACGCAACTGAAAACTGCTCTTAAATGCAATTTTTCCTTTTTGCAATCAGCAAGAATTAAGCACTTCATTTAATGCATTTTGTGTGGCATTTCCACTGTCTGTGATTTTGAGATCGTTTGACCACATAAGTAATTATTCATTGCTGGACATCAGTGACTACCATTTTTGTCTGTAGGATATTCCAGACATATAGATGAGAGAGGGGAGGGAATAGTGTCAAACTGCTATTAACTTGCTGTTCTCTCTGCAATCCCCATTCTGCTTTTCATTTTCCTTTGTATTATTGACCAACTTCACCCATTTCATAAGTCTGTCAGAGTGAGACACGCTGTCCCTAGCCAGCCTCCGCCATTTTCAATGCCATTAAACATGTTGGATACATCCAATTGTCAAATTACTCTACTCCTTATATTTCTTCTTATCAAAATTATTGATATTAAGTGTGCGGTTCCAGAAAATATCCATACTCCCCCCACAGAAGGGATTGGAATTTCCTGGGGGGTAGGGGGTTCTGTAAGACCCAAAAATTTAAAGAAATGTATGAAGCTTAACTGGAATTTCCAGAGGGGTGGGGAGGTGTTAGAAAAAATCCCTTCCATGGGGGAGGTATGGATATTTTCTGAACTACACAATGGTGAAGCGAAATGTTATTGCTTTACTGGAAGTTGTGTTCCTGAAAGTATGTTTAATTATCTTTAGTAGTGTCACAGTGATTTCCTTCGTTTCCACACTCTCCAAATAAAACATGTTAGCCAAACTCTTGCATGTAAACAAAAACAAAGGTGTGGCTGACCAGGGCCCTTTAAGTGCACATTGTAGTGCACATTTTGAAGATCCTGAGGGACACTCTGGGATTTAAAACCAGTCTATTCAGGTTAGCTTGTGGCTTTACAGGATGTAGATTTATCAAAGCTAGCTGCTTCTGATGCAAGATTGTAAGAGAAAGCTCTGAAGTGTCTGAATGGGCTCCCTCTGGCTGGAAGACGTTTTTCTCACTGATGTACCGCCGTAGAAAATGCA